AAAAAAAAACAAATTAAAAAAAAAAAAAAAAAAAAAAAAAAAAAAAAAAAAAAAACTTTAAATATATATTTTTTAGAATATAAAAAATAAAATATTAAGTTTTTTTTTAATACTTTATTAATAAATTTATTATAAAATTTGATTTTTAAACTAAAAAATTTTTATATATAAATTTATATATAAATTGTAATCACAAAAATAATTTTTACTATATAAAAATTTTATAAAAAAATTATTTATAAAATTAAAAAAAAATAATTTAATCAATAAAAAAATTGTAAAATATTTTTTATAATATACAAATTATTTTTAAAAAAATTTTTATTTTTTATTAAATTTTAGATTAATTTATTTAATTAAAAATTAATTAATTTGTTTAAATTAATTTTATTTTATTTTACAAATCAATAAATCAAAACTATTGTATTTAATTTATTTGTTTATTTATTATAAGTTAATTAAATTAATACTTTTAAAAAAAATTTTTTTTGATTATCAATTAATTTTCAATAAATTTCAATAAATATTAATAATAGTCTATTAAGTAAATTTGTTTTTTATATTGTTATATTCGAATTTTTATTTGATTTTATTAAATAATTATTGAATTATAAATATAAATTAAATTAAAAGTATGTTCAAAAACTTTTTAAACAAACTGTATATGATTTTTTTTATTATTGATAAAAAAATATAATTATTGATATTGAAAATTTATTGCTATAAATAATAATATTTTATTTTATTTGATATTAAAGAATTTTATAGCTATTGTAAGGGGGTAAGTTAAGACACGTCACATATCATGTGACTGATCATCATGTATGGTATGCAAGGAAAACTGATTCTTGGTTGACAGTGCACGATTATATAATGCGGGGGAAGAAAGAAGGGATTGTAATAAAAGAACTTATGTAATATAGAACTCAGCCTAACCATTGTTCTTAAGAGTATAGCCACACTAGCCCCTGTAAATAATAAGATGTATAAATAGAATAGCTGAAAATTTAATAAAGTGACACACATGATATTATGAATAATAAAATATTTGAATAATACTTGCCCAAATCAAAACACACCTCCTTCACCTTAAGTATTACTTACACTTACTTTCGTTACGTGAAACTTTGTCTTCCTTAGCGACTGACTCGCCGTTACACCCCTCACACTATAGATTCATTCATATAATATAAGTTGGTATCTGGATAAAAAGATTGATTAGTTATAATTAAACTTACGGTTAATAGTAATATTAGCATGTATAAGACCATAAGTATATGGTTCAAATATAATAATTCAATAAAACCTGGCATCAAATGCCTATTTACCTATAAAAAAAAAAAATTAAAATTAAAATAAAAACTGTTTTAAACTTTTGAAAAAATATATATTTACTTAACACTTTGTATTTTTGTTTATTTTAATATACTGATATATAGTATAATATTAATAATAAATTAAATTAAAATTAATTCAAACTTAATTACAAAATAATAATAATAATAATATTTTTATATACCAGTTAAATATAAAATATATATAATCAATCAAATTTGTTTCAAACTAACTTAAATACACGAAAATATAGAAATAATTTTGCTGAATAACTTTTTATCAATTAAAAACTGAAACCAATTTGATTATACTGTATATAAAAAAAAAAAGATAACGTAAAAAAAAATATTTTTGATTTGATTTTTACTAAATAATCTATTAATTAATCCATTATGATTTGATGATCTGATGATAATATTTCAATATGATACTTTGCTAAGTATCAATTACATATAGTAAGAAAGAAAGAAAAAAAGAAAATATAAAAATTACTCAGAAGTAAAATTTCTCAAGAATCAAGTAAAGTTTAAACAGAAATTCCAAATATGAATATATATAACCACAAGTAATCAGAATAATGACACAATATCACATCAAAAATATTTCTTGAAAATTGGGGATAAAAGCTAACTGGAATAACTTGGGTTAAGCCTAGGACCTTTCCAAAAAAAAAATTAAAAAATTCTTTAAATCTTCAAAAATATAAAAGAGATGCATTTGACAATATCATTTCAACTTGAAATGAGATTTAAAAATTTATTTGAAAAAGCATTCAAAGAAATTTCTCTGTATACCACACAAAATATATTTTGTTTATTTGGATGTATTTCAATGCAATATACAGTAAATCCTATTCAAGAATGTCATAAATGATATATTATGATCTCACGTTTAGTGAATTTTCAGTTGAGAGTTGACTATCAAAGCCTGTTATTGATACATTAGCAATGTGAATACGTATATTAAATATAATTTGAGGTGAATATACAGTGCCAAGGTGGCAATAAATTTGGAAACAAGAAAATGTGCGTGCAAAAATGATGTACTCACAAACGTATATTGGTAAAATAAAGAATAAATTACAGAATAATAAATGTGCATTTTAAAGGTTTCGTGAGTTAAAAAATAAAAGTAACAAGAAATACGTTAGTGCACAATTTTTTTTGTTTGAAGTTAATTTTAATATGAAAAGAAACATGCTCCATATTTAAAATCACGCAGCACGTATTCGGAGTACTACAAATGTCCCCTCTAACTCTTGTACTAAAATACCCGATTCATTTTTCCTTGCTATCGTTTTTTCCAGAATCATCTTCCTTTTGTTGCTTGTGTTCCTCATATTTCTTATTAACCGCATCGATGAACCATGGTTTTTCGGAATCCTCGTCATCCGCGTCGACATTGACGTCTATCAATGGATAATTTTCTAAATTATCTTTCGTTTTTCTCCCACGCCATGACATTAGCATCGACTGCGTGAGGCTTGTCTTACGCTTAGCCGCCTTAATGCTCTCAGGTTCGGACAAACAAGAAATGTGATCTAATAACCACTTGATCAGATCCTGTTTCCTCTTCTGAACTGCCAGTCCCAATATATTCATCTTGTTTGTGGCGTCCCATTTCCGAGCGTCCGCTCCTTTTTTCATCAACAACTCAATGAGGCTAATCGGCCATTCAAATTCTATGGCCAGGAACAATGCCGTGGGCGCGTAGAATGTCTGCCCCAGTCCCTTGATGGTACACGATAAATTAGGATTAGCACCCATTTTTAACAAGGTTGAAATTATGGATTGTTGACTCTCGGATTTACCATGTTTCTCGGCCAAAAAGTATGATAGCACCGTTCGGCCATCCTTATCACGAGCATTTATTGGACAATGGTTTTCGCACAGTATTTCTATTGCCTCCGTCATACGCCTTACATATTTCTCCTCGTCTTCCTTAAACAATCTTCGAAATCCCGTGTTATCATGCAATCGATGAAAAGCAGTTTTCTTCTGCATATTCTTAATGCCAAAATCTGCATTATTGTATTTCAATATTTTTAACATCAGATTTAGTTTTTGTCCTTTGCAATTAAAAGTGGCTATATGTGTAAGCGGTTCGCAGAAACCATTGTAATCATAATTCCGGTTCACGTCATCCCCAGAATCAAGATGAAACTGTAGCCCTTCCGCGTCACCGACTCCGAGATGTATGGCCGCATTACATTCCTCCGGCATGACGAAACCTTTCAGAGTGTGATTGCTTTCGATATATTTATTAAGGACTTCAGTGCAGGGTTTCATGTTGGGATATCTTGATCGATCGACTTTTTTGCGAGGGATCTGTTGACCCTGGTGATCCGACTGATTGGATAAAGGCAGACCTTGAGAAATTGGGTAAGCTAAAGAGCAAACAGATCATTAGAACTTGACCATAAGCCGCACTCTATAAACGAAATAAAATATCGTGAATACCATATGAACCATTGCCCGGCTGATAATTGTTATGAGGAAATTGATTTTGCGACGACTGACTTTGGGGTGGGTAATTTTGTTGTTGGGAGTGTTCATAATTACTTGAGGAATATTCGCTTTGCGGGTCATAGTTGTATGCATTCTGCGAATGGATTAAATCTCCAGGGTAGGAATAATTTGGTTGCTGTTGAGAAATCGGTGGATTACTATTTGGGTAGTAATGATGAGGTGGAGGTGGCGGTGGCCGATTAGAATATGAATTATTGTTATTATGATGAATCATTCCGTCAGAATGTACAGGTTTCTGCGTCGTATTTTGCGGTTGGCTGTGTCCGTAAGCAGATTGTACAGGATTTACATTGTGCCCCGGCGGTGGGTAAGGTCTCTTTTGGGAGTACATCAAATTCTGATTGTACGTGTCATTGATATTTGGGGGAGTGTTATAATTGATTTGTTGGGGTCGTGATTGCGGTGATATTAAACCAGAAGGATTATTTGGAGTCACCGATGGATAAGCGTTATTTCCATTCTTATAATAATTTGTAGGAATGGAGGTAGTTCTTTGCGGACGAGACGCCACTTGAACATTCTCTTGACGTGCACCCGGAAACGAATTACTCGGTTCATCTTGTTGTACCGAACTTCTTCTTGAAGAATTTTGTGAAGGGCGGTAAGGATTCTGATTTTGATCTAGACTTTGTGGGACGTGCCCCGTAACATTGTACGCCTGATTTCTATCCGAACTTTGAAGGGGATAACCCTGAACATTGTACGCTTGATTTTTGGCTAGACCCTGTGGGGGATACTCCTGAACATTGTACGCTTGATTTTTGGCTAGACCCTGTGGGGGATACTCCTGAACGTTGTATGCTTGATTTGGCAATCCATTATATATATTGTTCCCACCGCTAGGAGTTGCTTGATAACTAGCAACATTGTTCATCTGAGGTGGCTGTAAAGGTGAGGGATTGTTACTGTACGGTCCTTGATTCTGAGGAGGAAGGTATTGAATTTTTCCCTGATGCGCTAATGTTTGCAACGATGGTTTCAGACTTGCTCGATAATTGTTATCATATACTGGCGACAGTCGTACATTTTCCAAATCTCTACGTATCTGTTCAATTTCCGGTCTCTGTGATGGATCCTGATTCCAAGCACTTTCATAGATTTTTAGATAGTCTATGGGAGTACCCTCAACCGGTTCTTCTCTCGCACCAACTTCCACCGCCTTAATAATTTGCAACATTTCCAGATCTTTGAATGGGGGTACCCCGCTTGATATCTCCCATAATAGTACGCCCAAACTATATATGTCAGATTTCTTGTCCCGTTTGTATATGTGTTTTGAATTCGAGAAACATTGTGGTTCCACGTAACCAGCCATCCCCACCACCGCGGAATTTGAATTTGCCTGACCCGCTTTTGATAAACCAAAATCAGTTATCATCATTTTTCCGTCATGCACGAGTATGTTTTTGGAGTGCTAAACAGTTTGTGTGTTTTGGATAGGTTAACGCAGGTTGCAGGTTGAACGGCAGTGTTTACGTCTTAAAAGGAAAAAGGAAGAAATTACCAAATCTCGGTGCACGATACCACGCTCGTGTATACATTTAAGACCACTCGCTATATTTATTCCCATTTCTATTCTTTTAGACCAATCAAGATCCTTATGATTTTTACGCAGAAAATCACGTAGATTTCCGCCATTGGCGTATTGTAAGACCATGAAATATCGATTATTTGTGATATCTAGTTAAGATGAAGGTGTTAAAAAGAAGGAATACTATAGAAGCGAATGTGGACAGACACAACAGTCGAGGCACCTTGGCTTAAACCAAAGAATCTTATAACGTTATCGTGAAAATCGACCGAACGAATCAACTGAAACTGGAAATCCGAAAGAAAATTTTTTGTCAGTAATCCTTTCTTTTTTTGTGAAAATGTCTTGCGTAAATTCACCTTCTCCCTTACAAGCATTCGTCACATCCATCTGAACTTTTTAACTTCTTATGTCACCCATCGCAATTTATGCCTACCTCGTTAATAAAATCATTAAATGCCTGGTCATTTTCCAGTTCGGGACTGTTATATAAAGTTTTCAATGCTACCGTTTTCTCACCGCTGTTCCAGTACGCTTTCGAAACTTCACCGAAAGCACCTCGGGCCACCACCTTGACGTCGCTGAACTCGCTGAAGTCAAAGAATTTGATGAGGCCATTTTTAATGGAGTCTTGTAGCCACTGTGACATTTTGTCAATTGGGGAAATCTCAAGTATGAGAATTTTGCAAGATAAGCACTCACGTTTAAAAATAATATTTGCACCTATCAACTTGTCAGGTGACACGTATAAACGTAAAAAATGAATGATAAGGTGTTAGAAAACCCGAATAACCCTGGCTGATTCCGTGTAACCGAAACTTCAAATAAATTCAATAAATTCCCGGAACATACTTTTATCTAATTAAGCGGATGAAGATCCTAACGTACAGTAATACAATAAATTGGCTTTTTTTTTTTGTTTGGGGTATTTAATCTTGATCTCTACGCTAATTACACTAATTACACTAATTACACTAATTACAACAACCGGATTATGATGTTATTCCAACGTCTCCAGGTATCGCATTAATAAACACACCCGTTTTACCCATTTATTTTGTGATCATATTTTCTATTTTCCACATAACCGATAAAGTATACGGTTATTTAATTATGGCGCAATTGCTATTTTTTATTTTAGATTCCTATCTTTGATTTGGGATTTCTAGGTATGACTTTGGAGATTAAAAAAATAAAAAAAAACCTCCCCCCAAAAAAACGATTACTTCCTTGAAATTCTTCATGCACGAATCATATACATCTAGTTCGCAATTCATCACCAATACGGCCATTGCACCACAATTATCACCCATATTTGCTATGCATTCGATACATAATGGTTTATTGTTATTCCAATGAATCAATATTTTTCTAATATTTTCTAATATTTATATCCGATATATTTTCATGTGTTAACATAATAATCTTAAATGTTATGTATGATAGTATTTGATTACACAAATTATTTACATAATTCATAATTGGATGAAAAGTTTTTCATAATAATGTGATATGATCATCATTATTTAATACTGGTTTATTACTCATTTTATTTGAATCGTACGAATGCTTTTACATACATTCGTATAGTAACAGTTGGTTATATCGATCATACGATATTATGAAACAATGTTGGTTTCATTCAAATGAACATCAAACCAGGCAAAAGAAAAACAACAATAAAGCAACAAGGCGATTGATGATCAACCGAGATTTTAAATAATAAGCAATGAGCATACCGTTTCGACAAATCGTATTTGATGACATCGAATTAATCGATTTTTTTTTTAAATAAGTTTATGCAACATTAAAGGCCCAAACATAAGCATCGATCATAATCTCAACCCGGTAATTGGCAGATTGATCTGCGGAAATCCATATACGAATAAACATAAAGCAAACATTTTTATACTTATTTATTAGTCTTATTCGCAAATGAATGTTATAATCAAAAATCTCATATGCAAGTAACAGTTTTTATACCGTTGCACCCTTCACGTATTCACGGATGGCTTATCACCGTTCGATCAAAAAAAAAAAATGCTCGAGTTAACAACACTAGGATTCACCGAATCGATGTAAAACCATAAATAAGCACGAGAAATATACATACCGACTTCCTATCAATAATTCGCAGTGTTCCGTTTGGTAGTATCATTCCGATATCGCCAGTTCGTAGCCATCGATCCGCATCAATGGCCTGCGACGTTTCTTCTGCTTTTTTATAGTAACCTTTCATTACATTCGTACCACGTACGCAGATCTAATTAACAAGATAATATGTAGAAGATCGAATATCTCATGAGTTCAATGTTGACAAAAACCTATACATATCTTATCTTATACCCTTGAAAATAAAAAATTACTCACTTCTCCTCTAGGATTCGGCAAATCCTCTACCGAGTACCCTTTCTCCAAACAATCCACCAACTTGATTTCATTACACGGTAATGGTCCTCCACAATGTGAATGATCGCCATCTGATTGATAATCGTAGAAAACATTCACCGTTACCACTCCACTACATTGAGTCAACCCGTAAACCTGAATCACTTGACATCCAACGGTTATACGTAGAAAATCAAGTGTTGATTGCGAAACGTGACCTTCATAAACGTGATAAGATTTAGAGATTGCATTTCACGAGTAGTCAAGATTGAAAAGATATCGACTTCATGATGCCATCAAATTATACACTTACCACCACCAGTAACAATCACTCTCACTCTTCCACCAAGTTTGGCTTTCACACGATTAAACACCAACATATCCCACAAGGAATTCTTAATCAATTGCCCCTT